GGGAGGCAGATATTAAAGCTCGTCTCAGCAGACCTTTGTGGGGTCACCTAAATGCCAGACAAAGCACCAGGCACCAGAGGCACACAGATGAATGAGATGCAATCCTTGCACTCAGAGAACTCAATACCTAGTAAAAATGCACAGGGCAAAGTTTGTTACAGATAGAAAGGCAGTGGGCTGTGTTGTAGCAGAGGAAGGAGCAGTTGATAAGGATTGAGGGAAATCGAGGGGTAATTTTTTTAAATTGGGGTCTGAAAAAAATGATTTTGACAAAATTGAGATTTTCATTCTTTTTCATGTAACACTAAGAAAAATTCCTGATAGAAGTTGATGAATCAACTTTCTCTAATCTCATCTCTTCGGTGTGTAGTTAAAAGGTTTTTGTTTTCCTCAAAGAGCTTCTGAATTTTCAGGAACTCCATAAGTGAATCTTGGACTTGAAATGATGCTTTTTAACAAGGAACTTTCAAGCTGTATTTTTTTTTGAAATCCATAAAATGAACCTAGTAAGAACTTAGGAAACAGGATGCTTCAAGTAGGGTTCTCAGAGAAGAATGTGGTAACATTTAGCATTGTTGCTAAGAAAACGGGACTTGGATTAAACTTGTAAAAGTCACTTAAATTTCTTATTAGGGTGATGAAAATATCAATTTTTTTTAAAAATTTGCTTACTTCCCCCCCTTTTGCTTCCTGGGGGCAGAGAAAGGGCACTTGGGATGGGACATGGGAGGTCAGAGTGGCAAGGCAAATCTTGGGAAGCTTGGTGCCAATTACAGGCTCCACGCACAGTTTAACAGGAAGGTCCTTTTACACTTTCTATGCCCCTAAATTAGCAACAGATTTCCCCAGAATAAGCCTATACCTGTTGAAACTTCTAGTTTCAATTGGATTACAGTATTACTTGCTCATTTATTTTTATTATGTGATATTTCTCTTTTTTTATATATAAGAGAGAACATGTTTCTAACTCAAGGAATACAGTTATATCACATAGACGTGGATGTGAGTTACACAGAAATATTATTAATAACGTGACTACTGCTGCATCTTTTAACGGGAAATATTTATTGATGTGTTCTCCGCGGCAGATGTCTCCTGTTTGCTAACATGCTGGCTAAGCCATCTGCCCCTTTAATTCCAATAGCAATTATCAGAAAAGATTTGATGTATAACATGTCATTGAAATGCAGGAAACTGTGGAGGCACTGAGGGCGGAACACTGTACTCCAGTAAGATAAGGCACTCCCATTGTATTGCATAAACCTTCCTGCCACATGGTTGGCACTTTGCATCCTCAGTGCATGAAGCAAGCTGTCTTGAAGTGTCTTTTCTTACAGGTGTTTATAAGCTGATTGTTCTTTCTACATGTTTGGTGGGTAGACATGTTTGTGCACATTGTGGTTTTAGTTTATTAGGCTTTGTCCATGTTTTGCAATCATTTTTACATTTACTGGTAAATGTTCAGTTCGAAAGTGAAATATTACCTTAAAGGAGGAAATACTGAAACCAGCTTAATTAAAGAACTGAAAAACAATTAGTCAAAAATTAGCAAATCTGTGAGTTCCTTTACATCACAAGATTATGCTGAAATTTTAACTATTCTGAAAGAAAATACACTTTTAATAGTCAGTAGCTCTGCTCTAAATGATAGCCTTGATTCCTTGATTCCAGCTGTGACTGCCTTCCAGTGGCAGTCTTCTTAGCCACAGAGGCTGAAGGAAGGGGGAGGCTCCTCCCAGGGAAGTCAGTTTTTTTCCTTGCAATGCTGGGTTTCTGTTGTCCCCACTACTTTTGTGAGGGATTTGAGAGGCTTGCCATCACTGCAGAAAGTTTTCTTACTGCTACATTTTCTTATATGTAATAGAAGAAATTGGACTTGTCATTCCTGCTTCAGTGTGGCAACTTAAGTTGATATTTTGCTGTTTTGTATTTTTGCCATTTAAACACATTCTTGCAACCAGTGGATGATTGTTTGCTAAGTGTATGCTTTCTTCCTTGTCATTCCTGGGCTTAAATAAGATACTGGCTTCAGTGGCAGCTGTCAGCAAGTGATTTATTAGTTTTCTTTTGAGGCCTTAACATGAGTACAGATTAGGGACTGAATATTTAGTAGACTTCACCTTGGAGGGAAGTATTTGTGATACTCTTTATCTCTCCAGGAGAGTTTAATGGAAGTTATAGCTATGAAACATCATCTGAGCCCCTCTAGGCCTCAGAAGAACAGTGGAATGTTACAGTTAAGAGCATGATTTCTGGTCTAGACTGCTTGGTTCCCATCTGGCCCTGTTACTTACTAGCTGGTGACCTTAGGCAAGTTAGTGAACTGCTCTAAGCCTCAGTTTCCTCGTATATAAACTGGGGATAATAGTACCTTAAAAAATTAATATATGTCAAATGCTTAATACATGGCATATGTTTGCTACTCTTGCCATTATCATGTGGTCAGTGATCTGTTTCACTTCACAATGTTTGGACTATCTTATGTTTGTTTTTCAGTGATATTGTGGTCCAGATAGTAGATGCTAGAAATCCACTCCTATTTAGATGTGAGGATTTGGTAAGTAAAGTTTGACACAATTGAAACATAAGTCCTTTGTGTAGCAATGAGAGGACAGCATCACTTGTAGCAATAATTGTAGGCAAGCTTTCTTTACTCTCTGCTAGCTTTGTTTTATTAGGCCTCCCTCTCTCCCAAGGTCAGGGGCTTGCATAATGCCACTGTTTAGACAGATGTTTTCTCTTCTCAAACAATTGTTTCCATCTGCAGGAAGACACAAACATATGAGCTTTCAAGCTTTAGTTTAGAAGTCACTTTGTTAATAGATGTTTGCCAGTTTCCCGTATTTCAAGAGACACCAGTTGAAATAATAGCATTTTATTTATTTTAGCATGTTCCTAGTCACTTCACTTCTTAATTCATCCCATTAAGTTCTCTCTTCTCACACTTTAGTTATTACTCCCTGTGGTATTTCACAAGTGAACTAAATTTATAAAACACCACAGGGGACAATAAGGTGTAAGGATCACATGAAGTAATGCAGTACAGACTTTGAGTTAATGAAACACTGCACACATGTGAGGTATTCATATTTCTGTTTGAGGACCATAGTACAGATTATTTTTAAATCCACTGGTGAATAACAAAAATCTTAATGGTGAAACTTCAAAGCTTACAAAGATTAGTAGAATACACCATGATTAAAAATCTTTAACTTCAGAAATGGTTTAAAACTGGGGGCAGTAAAAACTTCTATTGAAATCTTTAATATAATAAGCTTAATTTTTTACTTGTTTGAAGAGACCTTTCTAAATGCCTTCGTCTTGCTTAGGAATGTTATGTGAAAGAAATTGATGCCAATAAGGAGAACGTTATTCTGATCAACAAGGCAGACTTATTGACTGCTGAGCAGCGGAGTGCCTGGGCCACATACTTTGAAAAAGAAGATGTGAAGGTTATTTTCTGGTCAGCCTTGGCTGGAGCCATTAAACTGAATGGTGACTCGAAGGTACCCCAGAGCATGTTTTCAGGTCGGGTTTCAGGGAGGAGGATTTTGATTTCTGATTAATGTGCTTTATGTTTTGTTTTTTCTTAGTGAAGATTTGTGGAAATTTTTTTTCCTATGTGCTGTGATATTAAAGCAACCTATAAAAAAGTGAATCACACGGCTACTTTCTCTGAGTTGCTAAATAGTCAGACATCCCCAATGTTGCACACTGATATTAGCTATAATTTTTAAATTTCTAAAAAAATTTTAGGCAGGAAGTTGTATAGGAAGTTCCACAATGACCTTGTAATTACTTTTAAGAGAAGTCAGAACAAAAGGGTACAACTAGAGGATGTAGTATTATAACTTCTCAGTACTTGATCAGAATCTCTTTTGACTTTGTTTTGAAAACAAAGAAACTAAATCCTAAATTTAGGTACACCGCATTATTTTCTTTATCCTTTAACCCAAATTTTACAAAAATAGTTTGGGCTTTATTTTTATTTTATAATAAAATAATACATATGAAAAGAAACTAGTAATAGAATCTTAGAGCTGGAAGAGACTTAGAAGTAATATCTTTTTCCCTGTCCTCCTTTTCTCCAGTCTCTATTTATCAAACATCTATTTTTGATTATTGACTATTTAGCATGTGTTGAACTAGGTTCAGTGAATACAACACCCTCCCCTCAGTGAGCTCACAATTTAATGAGCTCTAACCTCTAACTCTGTGAAGGAATTCCTTCCTCCATCTCCCTGTCAAACAGTTACATTATTTCTCTGTGACTCTTTTAAATGACAGGGTTCTCGAGACCAGGGAATTCATTCATTTAGAAAGTTCTTCCATTCAGTGAAGCTAAGTCAGCCTCCCTAACCTTTGATCTGAGGACTCACCTTTTGTTCCCTTAGTTCTCTCTTCTGCAGACTGTACATTTTCTGCTTTTGTATTCTTTAAAGACACCATCTCTAGGGCACTCCTCCTGTGTGCCTGTCCGCTTGTGTCAGGATTACAGTTAAAATTGGCTGTGCCTAATTGAATATGTTATTCCAGGTAGTATTTGCCTAGGGCATATACAGAGGGACTCATATTTCTTGTGATCAGGATAGTCCCATTAATTTGGAGTTTCTACCAATTCGTCCATTTGAGGACCTATGTTATACTCTTGGCTCATTGAACCTGTGAGCAACCCAATCCCTCAAATAGACTTATTAAGCAGATGTCATCCAATGTTTACATGTGGGAAAAGTTTTTTGTTCTGTTCTACCTAAACTTAGGATAGCACTGTTTCTCTTAAATATTATGTTAATGGTTTAGGACCAAGGTAGAGTTCGTTTTTGAGTGTGCAGTTTGCTTTTCTCCCCTTCTAACTTTGAATCATCTGTAGATTTTGTGTGTTTACCCTTCTATATATTCTTTCAAGTCACTGATACATTTTTAAACGGGATAGGACCAAGGATAATTCTCTACCAGGTACCACTGTTCTAAACACCTAACATATTTTATTCATTTAATCTTCTCAGCAATAAGTACAGATACTTATTATCCTTAGGCAGTCTGGCTTCATAGTTTGCCCTCTTAAACCATTATTTCTGTTGTTTCAAATCTGTCCAGGGAGTCTGTGTCTTGCTGAAAAATGTCAGGAAAAATTGGTATGATTTCATGAGCATGCTTGGCAACTCAAGTAAAAACCTGGCTTATAAGGGAATCAAAAAACAGGAAGAACTTTTTATGATAAACTATTTTTAGGGCTCACGGGCTAACTTGGGGAATTGTTTTAATATCAATCTCTGGATTAACTATATAGCTTATGGAAGATATTCCTTCTTCTTTTTTAAAAGTTTGATATCATTTGCTTCTCCCAGGTCTTCTGAAATGTCTACTATTCTCCCTGCTTTCTCAGGTTATGATATCATATTTATAACCATATCTGTATGGTTTTATAGTTACCACCCATGAGTGGTAAATGATTTTTACCTTTCTTTCCAAAGGAAATCTTTCATTGGTAAATAATTTCCACATATGGAGTTGAGTTTTGCTGTTCCAAACACACAGGGGTCTGTGCTTTGCCTTATTAAAGGCAATTATAAAAGAATACATACATACATACATATAATTGCCTTATTAAAGGCAGTTATAAAAGAATACATACATTTGGGTACCAAACATGACCTTATTTAAAATAGCTTGATATTTATTGTTTTCTTTTCAATCAGAGTTTGGTTCTTCTGCAGTTTAGCTTTTGAAAAACTGTGACATTTTTCTGAGTTGAGTAGCTTTGTTTTCCCTTAGTTATCTTTAAATTGCACCGTGTTCCCCAAAAGATTGGCTTTTTTCCTTCTTTCTTTTAAATTTTTTTTTAAGAGACAGGGGTCTTGGCTGGGCGTGGTGGCTCACGCCTGTAATCCTAGCACTCTGGGAGGCTGAGGCGGGTGGATCGTTTGAGCTCAGGAGTTCGAGACCAGCCTGAGCAAGAACAAGACCCCGTCTCTACCAAAAATAGAAAGAAATTAGCTAGACACCTAAAAATATATATAGAAAAAATTAACTGGGCATGGTGGCACATGCCTGTACTCCCAGCTACTCGGGAGGATGAGGCAGTAGGATCTCTTGAGCCCAGGAGTTTGAGGTTGCTGTGAGCTAGACTGATGCCACAGGACTCTAGCCCAGGCAACAGAGTGAGACTCTGTCTCAAAAAAAAAAAAAAGAGACAGGGGTCTTGCTATGCTGCACAGCCTGGACTCAAACTCCTGGGCCCAAGCACTCCTCCCACCTCAGCCACCTGATAGCTGGGATTACAGGGGTGCACCACCATGCCCGGCTCTTTTAATTTTTAACTGCAATGTCCTTTTGTTGTCTTTAGGAATTTTCTGAAGGTGAACTGCTTCTAGCCATAGTTTTTTTCCCATCCAAGTACTAACCAGGCCCAACCCTGCTTGGCTTCCAATATAGATAAGATCAGGCACATTCAGGGTGCTATGGCAGTAGTCTACACCCATGGTTTGTCTACTGCACAATCATGTTCCATTCACGTTCTTGCTTTTATGCTTCTTTCATATTTTAAAATGATTTAAAAGCATTCACGGTGAGGACACCCTGACTTCTTTACATTCATTGCTCATTTATCATAGAAAGTTCTTCCTGTTTTTTGATTCTCTTATAAGCCAGGTTTTTACTTGAGTTGCCAAGCATGCTCATGAAATCATACCAATTTTTCCTGACATTTTGTTTTTATCTCTGCTTTTCTAAAATTTCGAATACATGTTTGGCTGAATTCATTGTGTCTCCTTCTGTTGATCACGGTAATGCTAATTTATTTGTAGATGATACAAGGTTTGTGTCACTTTGAAATCCCAACAGATTCACCCTTGTTGATAAGAATTAGCAATACTGTAAATTGCCTTATTTCTGCTTTGTTGTCTGTAGAGATTCAGGAGGATTAACACACCCATGAGTGGTAAATGATTTTTACCTTTCTCTTTCCAAAGAAAATCTTTCATTGGTAAATAATTTCCACATTTGGAGTTGAGTTTTGCTGTTCCAAACACACAGGCGTCTGTGCTCCGTGATGCTTTGCCTTATTAAAGGCAATTTTAAAAGAATAGCAATTTTTGAAAACATGCAAACCACTGTCTTTAAAAATGCAAATGTAAAATAAAGTACAAATTACAAATTACATCCTTCTTGCTTTGTGCAGAGAATGCTCAATGTTATTAATGAGAAATGCTTTGCTTTATTCTGCAGCCCATTGCAAAATAATATACTGCCAAAGAGTTCAGCTTAACATGGACTTTTCCCCTTGCTTTCTTTAAAGAGTATTTTAAATTAACAAAGTAATACATGTTATTTATACAGAATTAAAATATACAGAAATATATAAAGTAAAAGGTGAAGGTCTGCTGCTTGTCCCCTCCCACACAGCACCATTGTTGGTTTGTCTGTCCTTGCTCCAAAAGGCTTGCACTGTGTCCTCCCTGTGTTCACCTTTTCTAGTCTCCATCAGAACTTTGCTTGTCCTCTGTTCATCAAAGCCAACTCACTGAGTATTTTGACCAGAGTATAAAGTGCAGTTGTTACACACTTCTGAGCTTTTTTGGTTTCTGTTATTTCATTAGGAACAAGTAAATGGAGATGATGGAGAAGGCAGCACAACTGAGTTTGAAAATTCCAGTTTCGATGAGTCCGAAATTCCAGACAGTGAGACCGAACGTCTCCAGGGCAGGGATTCTCTCTCACTTAGTGAAGATTCCACTACAGATGAAGACGACACTGAGTATGAGGACTGTCAGGAGGAGGAGGAGGAAGATTGGCAGACGTGTTCAGAAGAAGACGGTATCCATGAGGAAGAGGCCTGTGGCCAGGACTGGAAGGAAAGCTGTGCTGCAGATTCTGAGGCTCAAGGCAGGAAAGCCCCAGAGAAGAGGCAGATACACAATTTTAGCCACTTAGTGTCAAAGCAGGAATTACTGGAGCTCTTTAGGCAGCTACACACTGGGAAGAAGGTGAAAGATGGGCAACTTACTGTTGGACTGGTAAGGTGAAATGCATGATAAAATTGTTACCACACAAGGGTCTTTATTCCCTCCTTCGGCAGCTACATAATGACCCCAGAAAACAGTCAGGCTTCTGCCATCATAGGGAACAGTATTGCCCTCTTGTTGCCCATTGGCATCTTGGGATCAGGCAGGGCCTAACTCAAAAGAATGAACTTCCTCAAGGCTTATATCGTTTACATAACTGTTCACATTAAACATATTCTCCAGTCTCCTTCCAGTTCAGCTTTTCTTACCATGTGAATTACCAAGAGAGACAAGAATGAGAGAGCTTTTAATGTTGTCTCCAGACTTCTGGTCCAGCGTTCTTTTGGTATCCTGTGATCTTTGCCAACTTATACTATAAATGTTCCAGATGCATATTAGGAAGAATCCCAACATCTTGGGGCCAGGCAAAATATGACAGATGCTTTAGTTGTATAAACGCTAAACAGCAAATAGGGAAAAGGAGATCACATCCCTAACTATATACACCCTAATTCCAAAAGTGGATATGGAAGTACCCAAACCCCAAGAGGATACAGCATGGCTCCAGGTGGCCACATCCTTAGCTAAGGAAATGTGAGATGTTGGAGAAAGGATTTATTATAAAGATCTTCCATCTAGGAGAACAAAACAGTGGAGGAAAGGAAATTATGGCAAGTTGGAATAGGTTTTACTCACTTTACAAACATTTATTGGTCATGTGCCACATGCTGCGTATTCTGCTGAGCCCTAAGTAAAAAGTTATTGAAAATTAAAAACAGTTGTATGTTGTGATTATTAAAATGTCCACTCAGCTTCAGCCAGTGTGGAAGACTGTAGATGGGGCAGTGAAGGAGGCAGGGACAAGGGGGTGAGGTTTACTGTAGCATCTGCCGCTAACAGCAGAACCTATAAAAACAAAATGCACATAGCTTGACCATTCATCGCTGTGTCTGAATTAATATACCCACACCACAGGAGAAAAAAAAGATGTCTGTCAAGAGACAAAGCATCTATTTCAAATAATCTGAAATAACCAGATGCTTATGCTAATGTTGCTACCATTTATGTAGTATCTTAGGGTCTTTGATAGATGTACCATTTGTCTATTTGGTAACTTCTGAATCTCTTCTAGGTGGGCTACCCTAATGTTGGTAAGAGTTCAACAATCAACACCATCATGGGCAACAAGAAAGTATCTGTATCTGCCACCCCTGGTCACACCAAGCATTTCCAGGTATTTCTACAGTTCTTTTCCACTCACACACAGCTTTTCTTTCCCTTCATCTGCTGTATGCCCAGTATAAACATCTTACTTGTCTTTCAGACTCTCTATGTGGAGCCTGGCCTCTGCTTGTGTGACTGCCCAGGCCTAGTGATGCCATCTTTTGTGTCTACGAAGGCAGAAATGACTTGCAACGGAATCCTCCCAATTGACCAAATGAGAGATCACATCCCACCTGTATCACTAATATCCTTTCTGCTTCAGAAACACTCTGGTTGTTACATGTATATTAGGGCTTCATGTTTGTTTTGGACATTTGAGGGATTCAGGTTTTATATCTTAAGAATGGAGAATCTAAAATACTAGTGATCTGCACAAGTTTATACAATGAGATAGCATCAGAACTCAGAATTAGAACCTCATCTCCTGATTTTTCAGCAGTGTAGCCTGGTATAAATGGAAGAGCCCAGGCTTTGGATGCTCAGCCCCAAGGTGGAGATCGATTTAACACTGCCATTTGACTATTTGAGTGACCTTGGAAAACTTGCTTAACCTTCCAAATACTTTGCTTTTCTATAAAATGAGGAAGATATCATCTATATCTTAGTTGATTGTGAGTACTCAATCATTACGGCTAACATTTATTGAATGCTTGCTGTGTGCTCTTCTAAACACTTACTAAGTGGTATTTCATTTAGTCCTCAACCCTTGAGGTGGGTACTGGTGCTATTCCCATTTCCTTGAGAAAACTGAGGCACAAAAAGTTAAAATGTTTGCCTAAGATCTCACCAGTAGTAAGTGGTAGATTAGGAACTCTGTTACCTCTCAGCAGCATAATGAGTTAACTTATGTGAAGCATTTAGGATCACTATTACACAGGCATGAAAAAAGTACTCAAAGTTAGATCTGCTAAGAACTGTGCAAGGTCTTAAAATTTTACCCTACTTACAAGCTAACAGGCTTGTCTGTTACTGTTTTGTGGATGCTGGCAGAAGAGAGGCATCCACTCAGTGAGCCTGTGGCACACTAATCTGTTAGCTTTCAAGTAGAGTAAAATTCTAGACCTTGCACAGTCCTTGACAAGATCCTTCATGATTACATTTAAGACCACAACTTTTTGTTTGCCCCAGTTTGTTTTCCCATTCTGTAAGAAATGAGTAAGAATTAGTTTCTCTCTAGGATAAATTAAAAATAGTAGATCACTGAAATGGAATAGTCTACAGTTGTACAAAATGTACATATAGCAACCATGGTAAATCTCAAAACAGTATACATATATATATAGTACGATACTATATATATAATAATATATATATTTTTTTTCAAAAATTTTTTTGTAAGAATTTTGCAAAAATTTTCATCTCACAAAATACTTTGTATTCATAGATACGTATGTACCTAAAAGTATGAAAAGTGGACTGCAAGATGCACCACAAACTGCTTAACTCTGGATGGGGGAAGAGGCTACTATAATGTGTTGTGGGTTTTTTTGGTAGAGACCAGATTTCACTATTGCCCAGGCTGGTTTCAAATTCCTGGTCTCAACCATCCTTCTGCGTTGGCCTCCCAAAGTGGTAGGATTAAAGGCATAAGCCACCGTGCCCAACCTACTATAATGTTTTAAAAGCTTAGATTTTTAAAATTTAAATTATTTGAAATATTGTTAATTCTTTGTAGTTGGAAACACAAATGTTATACTCGTCTGTATTTTTTAAGTTCCTCTGTAAATGAATAATCAGACACATATTGAGCGTTTACTACAAGCTGCGTTAGGTTAAGTGCTGTGGAGGATACAGGCATAAATAGGAGGTGGATCCTGCCCTTTAAGGAGATCAGTCTGTGGCGGATATGAGGCATGTACAGGAATAACTGCGGTTTAAGGTAGAATATTGTTAGTGGTTTAAGGAAAGTATAGATAAATCGTGGGGGATTAGACACAGGAGGAAAAATAATCTTGTGTAACTATAGACATTAGACACAGACGCTGTGCTGTATCTCTAAATGAGGATTATCTCACAGATTTACAGTTTATTCACAATCTTTTCAGGATAAAAATGTGTCATCTTTAAGGTCTGTTACAGATATTTTAATATTATTTTAAAAGAATGCATTTGGAATGGCCATTGGTACATAAAGCTTTGTTTATGGACAAAAACAACTGTGTCTTCTAAAATTACTGAATAGTCTTTTAAAATTGCTGAATAACTACTCATTTGGAGAAGAGAAAGGGTGTTTGCCATATAAGCAGTAAAATACCATGTTCTTACAGGCATGTGTCAGATGCCATGGGGAAGAGGGTGTTGGTTCAAGAGAATGGATTCCTTGGCCGGGCGCGGTGGCTCACGCCTGTAATCCTAGCACTCTGGGAGGCCGAGGCGGGCAGGTTGTTTGAGCTCAGGAGTTGGAGACCAGCCTGAGCAAGAGCGAGACCCCGTCTCTACTAAAAATAGAAAGAAATTAATCAGACAACTAAAAATATATAGAAAAAAATTAGCCAGGCATGGTGGCGCATGCATATAGTCCCAGCTACTCGGGAGGCTGAGGCAGGAGGATTGCTTGAGCCCAGGAGTTTGAGGTTGCTGTGAGCTAGGATGACACCCCAGCACTTGCCAGGGCAACAGAGTGAGACTCTGTCTCAAAAAAAAAAAAAAAAAGAATGGATTCCTTAACAAGCTTATGTTTGCCAGAATATTCCAAGACATGTTTTAGAAGCTACCTATGGCATTAATATCATAAAGCCTAGAGAGGACGAAGATCCCCATCGACCTCCAACGTCAGAAGAACTGTTGACGGCTTATGGATGTGAGTCTTGATTTATTTTAAAACATGAACAAAGATATCTCCAAAGATACAAATTTAGGATTTTTCTTTAGCATTTTTCACATTATCTTCCAGGGTTGATATTTTTGTTGTCTCTGCTGGCCCTACCTACAGAGTAGCCTAAAGCAAAAGCCCTTAGGCCTTTTGCTTCTTTGGTGGTACCCAAGTGCAGGCACAGGAGTCCTGATCTGAAGCCGTGTTGGCTTTTTCTAGAGTCTTCTCCCAGACAGAGAAGAAAAGGGATGTTTGGGGAAAAAATGAATATACTTATCAGAGTGGGAGAGGAAAGTTACTAGGGGAGCATCAGAAGGCATCTCCCCCAGAGATTGGGACAGGGCAGAACTTGGTTAGGATAGGGGCATAAAGCATCCGCCTTCCCCTTTCATCAGCCCCTTATAAGCTTTATTTGACATTAAAGTGAACCCATAGCTCTCCCACCTCCATGTTTTACCCCAGCTCTACATGGGAAGCTATCATTTCCTACTTAAATGTAAACTTTAAAGGTGGTCTGGAGAATCTGTGTCTACCTAAGAAATAGCAATGTTAGAAACATTTCTGTGCCTATGTGGCTTGTCTTTAAAGGGATTGTCACTGGCTGGGAAGGAATAAGTTATTTGAGTATTTACTGACAGAGAAAGGTAATTTGATATGAACCACACTTAAATCAGACCTTGAACTTAGAGACTTTAAAGAGAATAAATACTAACCACTGTAAGACTACTGTAATTACAGAGTCATAGAACAAGAAGAGACCTTAAAGATCACCCACCTTCTAGCACCCCTTTTTAAGACAAGTAATCTGAACTCAGAGCATGGAGACGACTTGCCCAAGGTGAGGTGGCATAGCCTGGATGAGACCTCGCTCCACGCTGCTAGCCTGAAAGACAAGGAAAGGTGGACTTCCACCAAACTTTCAATTTGATTTGACTTCCAGATAAAACTGAAAATTATATGAGTCTTTGAAGATTTTTTTATCTAATGGTACCTGATAAAATCAGAGTGAGGAAAAGGCCAGTTTATAAAAACAGATGACTACTCATATACGGTTTCTAAAATCACTATCTGCAGGTCCATACAGAATATAGTCTCTGGAAGTAAATTTTAAAAGACATTGCCAAATTACTTTAGTTTTACATTGTATTTCTTTAAATACTAATGAAATTGAGCATCTTTCCATGTGTGTTGGCCATTTATATTTCTTCTGAGAATCACCTTTTTCTATACATTGTTTCTGTCTTAATGATTTGTAGGAATTATTTGTTATGTATGGTACACATGTTTTTCCCAATGTTTGTTTATGGTTTCTTTGGCCCTATAGAAGTTGACAATTTTAATAGACTATTTTTCTCTTTTTGGCTTGACAGGATTTGGTATTTGATTTATAAAGTCCTTCCTTATCCCAAAAAGATAAAACCATCTTCCTGTAATATTCTTTTTTAACTTTTAGATTTTTAATCTACCTAAATTTATGTTTATGTATTATGTGAATTAAGATTCTCTGTCTTACTGGGGAAAATGTAGGTGTGTCATTAATGAAGAAAACTTGCTCTGGTGTTGCTAATAATGACAACATAGCATTCTTCTACAGGTAGCCTCCATGAGTAAATGTTTAAAATGAAGGGATAGGCCAGGTGCAGTGGTGCGTGCCTGTAGTCCCAGCTACTCAGGAGACTGAGGCAGGAAGATCACTTGAGCTCAGGAGTTTGAGGCTGCAGTGCACTGTGGTCACACCTGTGAATACACACTGCACTCCAGCCTGGGCAACACAGGGAGACTCCATCTCTTAAAAAAGAAAAAAGAAAACAAAACTGAAGGGGTGGAAGAAATAACTGGAGTAGAGAGAATTTGAATGTTTCCTTCATAGTGTGGTGCTAGGTGGTTGTTAGAATATCAGATATAACTATAGAGTCTATTCTCCTAGATTATCAAATGCTTTTAATGCTAAAGAAAATATATTCTACAATGATAATTTTTAAAAAGTAGGAGTAGCCGGGCGCGGTGGCTCACGCCTGTAATCCTAGCTCTCTGGGAGGCCAAGGCGGGCGGATTGTTTGAGCTCAGGAGTTCGAAACCAGCCTGAGCAAGAGCGAGACCCTGTCTCTACTAAAATTAGAAAGAAATTAATCGGAAAACTAAAAATATATAGAAAAAATTAGCCGGGCATGGTGGCGCATGCCTGTAGTCCCAGCTACTCGGGAGGCTGAGGCAGGAGGATCGCTTGAGCCCAGGAGTTTGAGGTTGCTGTGAGCTAGGCTGATGCCACGGCACTCTAGCCCGGGCAACACAGTAAGACTCTGTCTCAAAAAAAAAAAAAAGAAAAGAAAAAAAAGTAGGAGTAAGAATGCAATTAGTGTAGTAATAGACTAAATGACTAAATGTACATCACCTCAGTTGTCTTTGTTGTGATATTCTGTCTTCTGTGGTTTTGCAAAATTCATTTCTCTTCACAGATATGCGAGGATTCATGACAGCACACGGGCAGCCAGACCAACCTCGATCTGCACGCTATATTCTAAAGGATTACGTCAATGTGAGTGAACCCTGCTTCTTTTGTTTTTTTTTTGAGACAGAGTCTCACTCTTTTTGCCCAGGCTAGAGTGAGTGCCCTGGCGTCAGCCTAGCTCACAGCAACCTCAAACTCCTGGGCTCAAGCAATCCTTCTGCCTCAGCCTCCCGAGTAGCTGGGACTACAGGCATGCGCCACCATGCCCGGCTAATTTTTTTTTTTCTATATATTTTTAGTTGTCCGATTAATTTCTTTCTATTTTTTTTTTTTTTTTAGTAGAGACAGGGTCTCGCTGTTGCTTAGGCTGGTCTCGAACTCCTGAGCTCAAACAACCCGCCCGCCTCGGCCTCCCAGAGTGCTAGGATTACAGCCGTGAGCCACCGCGCCCGGCCTGAACCCTGCTTCTTACTGCTCTCAAATAAGCAGGTCATTTTCCACATGCTGTGTTCTTAGATAAGTTATAAGTTATAACTTACAACTGAAGTTATAAGGAAGATATTTAGTTAAGTTATAAGGAAGATATTTTTTCATTGAGATTGTGTTATAACTGGGGTTGTGTTTTTGATCTAGGGTAGTTAACATCGTATGAATTATACAAGTGACTAATAACATACGAAAGGAAAAATGAAGATTTCTGAACGTATTTTGAGTGAAAATTATCAGTTTATGCATCTGGTTTTTCGATTTCCTACAGCTCTTTGCTTGTTTCAATTGCAATTATTGTCGCAGTCTTCCTTGTAGTATAGCTGTGTACATCCCTCCCTGTCTCTGTACTTATCTTGTGACAATAATAATAGCTAACATCTCTTCAAAGGTAACTCTGCTAGGAATAGTTCTGTTTTACAAGTGTTACCTAAGTAAAAATACATAACAAATCTGTGAGGTTATTCTCCTATTACAAATAAGAAGGTGCTATTTTGAGTTTTTGTTATCAGTAAGATGGGAGTTAACAGTGCCTGTCTCATGAGATCATTATGGGAAATAAATGAAACACTAAGCTCAGTGCTGGACACATAATGAGCCCCCAATAATTGTTATATATTGAGTTTAACTCTTTCTACAAATAAGCATTACAGGGCCCTGGTAATAACTAATTGTGAGGATTTTGCTTCTCTTCTCAAACCACATTAGTGGATCTCTTGTAGCATAGAACTACAAATGGGCAGCCATATGGTCTTGCCTTCAGTTTGGGAAGAAAGTAGTTAATACTATTGGTATAGATAAGTCATTTATTAATTTACCATTTACTTAATTGTGGAGGATGCAAAGATGAGTTAAATATTGAGCTTTTAGAGCATTTATGGTGGAAAGAGGCAAATTTGTACCCAGTGAGCAACTGCAACTCACACATAGGAATCTGGGAACTATCTTAATTCAGTATTCTAGCCCAATATCCCCGTTAGTACAGTCATAACTGTCCAGTTGTGTCCTGGGTTTTGTTTGGAAAATATTTACCATAAGTATAATCATATAAATGTATTGAAGAATACTTTAGTTTTAATGCAAACAAGGTTAAAAAGCACAGAGAAGACAGCGATTTCATTCTAGCCTGGGGGCCATGGGAAGAGCTAGGTCTCTAGAACACTTTCATCATTGGTGTGTTGGAGTAAGGACTCTTCAGTTGCAGTAGATCAAAACCCAACTCAGCTAGCTTAGTCAAAAAGCAGAGCTCCATCAGAGTGTGACTGGTTGGAGATACCTCCTCTGAGGACGCAGGCGGTACTTAGGATGCACTGTTATCATTCGTGTTGTCTTTGTAGGGTAAGCTGCTGTACTGTCATCCTCCTCCTGGAAGAGATCCTGTGACCTTTCAGTACCAACACCAGCGACTGCTAGAGAACAAAACAAATGGTGATGGAATAAAAATGCAGCCAGCTGGAAATAAAAAAGCAAAGCAGATTGAAAATGTAGTTGACAAAACTTTTTTCCATCAAGTAAGTTTTAAATTTTTTCTTTAACTCCTGATCCAACACACCTTTTTAATGGCTTTATTGAGATATCATTCACATACCATAAACAAATTTTAATCACCCCCAAAAGCAGCCCATACTCATTAGCCTATTCCTCTCTTCCCACAACCCTGCCAACCACTGATCTACTTCCTCTCTTTATAGATTTGTCTATTCTGGACATTTCATATCAGTGGAATTATTTACTATATTGTCTTTTATCGCTATGTTATTTCACTTAGCATAATATCTTCGAGATGCATCCATGTTGTAGCATGTGTCAGTACTTCTTTCCTTTTTATTACCAAATCACATTTCATTGTGTAGATACACCACAATTTGTTTATCCGTTTATCAGCTGATGGACATTTGGGTTGTTTCTACCTTTTGGCTGTTATGACTAATGCTGCTGTGAACATTTGTGTATAGATTTTTGTGTGGGCGTGGGTTTTCAATTCTCTTGTGTATATAGCTAGGAGTGGGGTTCCTGGGTCATATTATAGCTCCATATTTAACATTTGAGGTGCTGCCAGACTTTCCAAAAGTGACTATACCATTTTACATTCCCACCAACAGTGTATAAGCTTTCCAATTTCTCCACATCCTTGTCAACATTTATTATTTTCTGCCTTTTTTTATTTTAGTCATCCTAATACATGTGAAATGGTATCTCATTATGGTTTTGACTTGTATTTCCCTAATGACTAATGATGTTCAGCATATTTTCTTTGGAGAAGTGTCTATTATTATTGCGTTGTAAGAGTTCTTTTTATATTCTGGATACAAGTCCCTTGCCAGATTTATGATTTGCAAATATTTTCACCCATTTTGTCAGTTGTCTTTTCTCTGAGCCAACACATTTAGTGATAGAAAGTGCTAAAGAAACAGATTTCATAAATGTCTTCTGCACTTTTAAAATATTAATAACTTTACTTGCTTATATCACAGCTATAATTTGTATGCAGCATTTTAAAGGACAAATTTATGTGCAGGAAAGTTAAATTATACACTTGTATCTAATATACTTTAAAAATGTTTTTAACTGACTACTATAGCCAAAAAAAGGAAGTGGCAGTGGGGAGGGGGGGGATGTCAACTGTATCCAGAGGAGGTTTCAGTGTTTATCTGGTGCTTTATCTGTGTGCATCACATGATGAGCCGGGAACACAGGCCAAGCAAATGTTATTATCCCCATTTAGACCACTGAGGATATTAGGGACTAAATGACTTAGCCAAGGGCACTTGTGGGTTTTTGTGTGGGCTAGAGTGCTGTGGTGTCAGCCTAGCTCACAGCAACCTCAAACTCCTGGGCTCAAGTGATCCTCCTGCCTTAGCCACCTGAGTAGCTGGGACTACAGGTGCACACCACCATGCCTAACTAATTTTTCTATTTTTTATTAGCGATGGGGTCTCGCCTTGCTCAGACTGGTCTCAAACTGCTGACCTCAAGGGATCCTCCCGCCTCGGCCTCCCAGAGTGCTAGGATTACAGGCATGAGCAACCACACCCCGGCCAAGGGCACTTGTTTTAAATTACAAAGCTAGGATAGACCTTAGATATTTGTGGCTCCTAGTTTGAATTGTTTCCAAGTCTGTGCCAGTATTTGGAAGAAAATTTACCAATATGCAGAAAGATTGCAAGTTCTTTCTTGGGCCTACAGCTGTCATACAGGACAGTTTAATTTGAATTTGTGTAATGTTTATAAAAAATTTCTAAAGGCAATATACAAGAAAGCTGAAAACCTATCATTAACTATAGTATAACTCATGTATCTAACCTTTAACCTCTAGAGTAATATTTTACTGTTATAAGAAGATTGTAGGATGTAACTTTATATTTGCAAATCATATTGGATTAAATTTATTTTGCTAAGTAAACTTAAAATCTGTTTAGCGTCAGTTTCTAATTTGGATGAGGCAGGTTGAGTTTTGATATTAAGACGAGATTATGGGTCTAGTTATAGACAGTTACAGATGGCATTTGAAGCTAAGGGACTAAACAAAGTTGACAAGGGAATAAGGAGGGAAAAGAGATAAACTAAAAACGGAAAGCTAGGGAGAGAAAGAGGACCAGTGAAAGAGGTGGAAATCCACTGAGTGATTTACTACTGCTGTTTATCTTGAAGTGGTCCATAAACAACACCATTCATAATCCCTTAAAGCTGCGGTCCCCAACCCCTGGGCTATAGACCGATAACCAGTCTGTGGTCTGTTAGGAACTGGGCCACAGAGCTCTGCCACCCACCCCTGTCCATGGGAAAATTGTCCTCCATGAAACTTAGGAACCAGTGGGCTGCATAGCAGGTGAGTGGCGGTCTAGCAAGCGAAGCTTCATCTGTATTTACAGCCGCTCCCCATCACTTGCATCACTGCCTGAGTTCTGAAAAGGTTAGGGACCGCTGCCTTAAAGGATAGCCTGTTGATCTCTCAAAGATGTTTTCTCTTATTTCCTAGGAGAATGTGAGAGCTTTGACCAAAGGAGTCCAGGCTGTGATGGGTTACAAGCCTGGGAGTGGCATGGTGACTGCAGCTACTGGGAGTTCTGAGACCGTGGCTGGGAAGCCCTGGAAAAAACATGGCAACAGAAATAAAAAAGAGAAAAGTCGTAGACTCTACAAGCACCTGGATATGTGAACTTGGGCTGCAACAGAAATGGCATCTGCACTGTGCAGATGGAAAATAACTGAAGCTGTTTGTGCCTGTGGAACTTTCCAAGACACTGGCACTCTAGAACGGACCCTGCTCTCATAGAGCACAGCCGCACCCAACAGTCTTGATGTCAAGGCTGAGGGGCTCAGGAAACACCAACTCTGACTAAAAGTAGTCATCTCGGAGCCCCAGAAAACTCCTATAGAAGGATGAATTGAAGGGAATGAATGATGTGTTTGTTTGTGTAAACATATTCACAAATGCATACTAATTTGTAAGTAATTTGTAAGTCGGGAATTTTTTGAAAAGATAATAAAATTAAGTTGCCATTAACAGATGTTTTATTGGTTTAAGTAGATAAACTGTCATTTGGACATTCTATATTTTTTTAACAGTTTAAGTTTGCTAAAACTTGGCTGGGATTTAGATGGATTCTTTTGAGGACATTATTTAGATTAGTAGTTCTCAACCTCATACACACACACCTAACATCCCTGATATGGCAGGGGGCTGGGGGAGCTGGCATGTGTAGTTTTTAAAAGCCCCTGGGGAGCATGACTTGCCATGTAGAAAACCATCATCACCATGAGCCACTGCTACAGAGGAAAGCGTGTGTTCGTAACTAACCCATTTGTAGAGAGACCCACAGGGAATGAGAAGAGGCAGTTAATCGGCTAGTTTTTATTTTAGGCATAGGGATCGTTTATATCCTTAGTACTATCAAGGGTGAGATGGGGGACACTTTACCTTTTACAGTCACTTTATAATGCACTATGGCTACTTTAGCCCCTCACTTCTTTACTTTGTATCCATTTTTCTCTGAGGCTCATTCCCTTAATTCAGGTCTTTAACTTTGTTCTGTATCATAAATGTTTTGGGGATACCAGAAAAATGTACATTCCCACATAAACAAGTTTGCAAAACATCAGAAGATATACTGACAACTTAAGGGTTATCCATGAATTTGTAGTTAAGAAGCTCTGCCTTTAACTGATCATAATATATTTAAGATATGTTATTTCAGGGAAAATGTTGCATCTAGATGTCTTAGTTCATTTTCTATTGCTATAACAATACCACAAACTGGGTAATTTATAAAGAAAAGTTTAGCTCACAGTCCTGGATGCTGGGAAGTCCAGGAGCATGGCGCTGGCCTGTGGTGAGGGCCTTCTTGCTGCATCATAATATGCCCGAGGACAAGAGCCTGCAGCTTGGGTCTGTCCTATAAATCTACCAGTCCCATCATGGGGGCCCCACCCTGATCTCCTTATCCAAATTACCTCCTAAAGACCCCACCTCCAAATAGCAGCATAGGAATTTGGGGATCAAGTTTCTAACATGAAATTTAGGGAACATATTCAAACCATAACACCAGGGAATTTTAAAAATTATGTTTATTCATCCAGTTACCAAATATTAATTGGCCATCTTCTACCTTGTGGCAGGAAGGACAGTCTGGAAAATGACAACCCCTGAGTAGGCCCTGAAGCAGGAAGGAGCTCTGGAGGACCCACAGGGCTGGATCACATAGGGCCTTAGAGCCGCGAAGGGATTCTGGGTATGTTCTGAAAAGCGGGGGGTAAGCCAAGGAAGAGTTTGATACAAGTGAGTAATGAGATGTGTTCTTATTCTTCACTTAAGTATCAGGCAAGTTTATTCCAGAACAAGGCTGAGGCAGACTTAGAAGAGGCAAAGCTGAAGATGTTCTAACCATTATGCTTCTCTGCAACATTGTTCCAGTATTCTCTTTTCTCTTAGAAAAGTGAGCATAAAAAGCTCATGATGGAAGAGGAACAAGTGTTGGCATGTGAAAACAAATTTCATTCCATTTACTGAAGAGTAAGCACAAGTGTGCAGCAGAAACTTTCATATTGAATGAACAAAGCATGTACTTACATGGAATAAGTTTTGCCTTAATAATAGTGACAACAGCTAAAACATAAGACTTCTTGGAAAAAGCCTAATCATGTATAGTCCTTTCATGCTTTTGATTAATTTTTGTAACAATTTTACTGAAATAATTTACATACCATCTATGTAAAGTATACAACTCAGTGATTTGTATCATAATCACTGAGTTGTGCAACCATCACCACAATCGATTTTTGTACATCTTTTTTTTGAGATGGGGTCTTGCTATGTTGCCCAGGCTGGTCTTTAACTCCTGAGCACAAGCAATTCCACCTCAGCCTCCCAAGGAGCTGGGACTGGGACATTTTTATCACCCTAAAAAGAAAGCCTATACCCTTTGGACATAAGCTATCTATCTTCCCATTCCCCTCAGCCCTAAGCAACCACTAACCTACTTTCCATCTATATAGATGTGCCTATTCTGGGCAGTTGATATAAATGGAATAACTGGGAAGGATGGGTACTGGTTAGTAAATGCCGCAGCTTCCCTGTCACCCAGTGGGTACGTTCCGCAAGTTCCTTAAAGACCCTCAGTTAAACTGAGCCCCATCTGGCCAGAGCCAGAACCATTTCATTAACTCACCTTTCATTTCTTTCCTCCCTTCCCTCCCTCACTCTCTCCACTCCCTCACCTCTGCTTTCTGGAACTGCCTCCCAAACAAGCTAACTGAACCCAAGTCCTTGCTTAGAATCTGAGGACCCCAACTGGGACACCCTAAATGGGGAATTTCTATTTTCACCTTTGCTTCTGCCTCAAATGTGTCTTGTTAAGAAGCATCCCTGGCAACTTTTTTAAGTATTCCTTCACCTTGTAGAGGTTAGTACTCTAGAAGTAAGAATTGCAGTCATTATCATTAATCTCTTGAATTTTTCCAGCATTTTATTACAAGAAATTCACCACCCTTTTTAAGCAGAACCTGCTGTACATGTGTCATTTGTTTACCTTCAGGAAATTAAAAGGAAGTTGAGGTTTTTGTCAAAAAGCCAATGGCAACATATGTTTTCTTGGTGGGTAAACTGGAAAATGTGGCAAATCTACTTAGGGCCCCTTGTTTTCATAGCCCTTTCGCTCTCCAGTCTCCGGAGAACTAAGGAAAATCATTCAAAATTCTCACCCTTAATAACCATTTGTTGTATGTTGTTTTCAACGCACTGTGTCTAGCTGAGGGTGAAAAGGACGAAGGAAGCAAAAGGCTTTCTTTTCTACAACTCTCCTGCATAAAGGGGAAACATTCTAAAGGGGAAACGAATTCTAAAAGCAAAGGATTATGTAAGTGAAAAGTCCTCAGCACACAGCAGACTCTGAATTTTCTAATATTTAATTCAAGTGTAATATGTACGTAAAGTACACGAGTCGTAAGTGTAGAGATGGCAGAGTTTTCACAACACATCAAGGCAGCCAGCACCCTGATGGCGGCACAGAGCATGGCCAGACCTGAGAAGCCCCTATCCTTCCCCTCAGTCACTGTGTACTCCCAAGGGTGACCACTATTCTGACCTTCCTCTGACTTTGAACTGTACATAAACTTTTATGTGTCTGGCTTCTTTAATCCAACATTGTGAGATTCCTCCATATTGTTACATGTAACAAATGGTAGCTCGTTCATTCTCGTAGTTGTATAACATTCTATGGTGTGAATATATCACAATTTATCTGTTCTACTATTGATGGCTATGTGGATGGTTTTTAAGGAATAGTGCTACCATACATGTTCTAATATAGCGCTGTCCAATAGAACTTTCCATTGTCATGGAAATGTTCTATAATCTGTGTGGTCCAATAACTACAGCCATATGTGGCTAATAAGCACTTGAAATGTGGCCAGTATGATTGAGGGACTGAATTTTTATTTGTATTCAACTCTAAGTATTTTAAATATTATATAAATAGCCACATGTGGCTGGTGGCTATTCATCAGCTCAGTTCCAATATATGCCTTAGAGCAAAGACTGTATGAGTTTCTGCAGGGTATCTGTCTAGGAGAACTGCTGAGTCATCATGCGTGTATCTGTTCAGCATCAGAAGACACTCAATGACTTTTACTTTCATTCCTTCCTCTTCTACATAAACCTCTATAGAAAATATGAAGAAGAAATATATACCTCTCGAGTTTTATCATTTTTATTTCATAGGGGTTGGAACTGGATTTTGTTTTTATGGACCTGCCTGGATATTCCACACTTCTGGTCCTCACAGGAAATTGTGGTAAGGGATGGGATTGTCACCTCTCAATTTCCTCCCAGGTATTTCTGAGTAGGGAGAACTCTCCTCCCGATGCCAGTGGATGTGAACTAGCACTCAATCGACTCACAGGCCGACAAGAGCATCCCAGGTTTTTTCCGTCTGTTTCATTGTGGGGCGAAGGGAGGTGACATTAAACCTGAAATATTTGTAAATCCACATTGTACTTTTGTTCTTCTCAGTAAGGTGTAGGTACAATCTCTGGTTCTGTTTCTGGAGACTAGGGTCCAGGGTCCTCCTAGGGTGCCCATGAGACAGAGTCTGGACCCGAGTGTATTTTCCCTTCTCTAACTGTGTCCAGTGTCTGGGAAGACAGAGCTGGGAAGTGCTCCATGACACTCAGCCTTACTCCTGAGCTTTGGGAAAATGCTGGTTAGGTCTCTTCCTAAGTCTCTTCTCAGTGGCCACGGAGGACAAGCAAGTACTGCCAGCACTCAGGAATGCAGCTAGACAGACTTACAGGTAAACATGTCCTTTGCTCTTTTTCTTAATCTCCACCTCTTATCTTCATTGTGCTCTTCTCTATTCCTTTATGTAAATTACTAAACATAAAAAGTGGCTACCATAATTTTTTCTAGAGCACAGCTAACCCTGTTGAACCCCTTCCAGGACAGAACCAAAAGCAAACAATTTGGCTTGTGTATTCAAAATAACACAGTCGAGATTGCCGTGGCTGTTGGGATTGATTTGGAAGCAGCAGCAATTGAAGGGAGAAATATTTTACAGAATCATTTTAGAAAATGCTTTTCAAAACACCGAGCATTTTTAACACTTGTTTTGGGTAATTGCTGTCCTTTTTCTGATTGAAGTGGGATTTCAAGTTTTCAGTTTTTTGTTTTTTTTGTTTTTTGGGGTTTCCTTTTTTGGGTTTTTGGTTTCTTACCTATCAGGGCATAGAGAAGTAGAATAACCATTTCAGGAAAATAAAATATGATTTGTATCCAGTAGGCAAGATGACAGACATGTGCCATGTCAGTTGCTACTCAAGTCTTCACATGATACTTGGCAGCTACTTGTACTCGGGCTGTTTCTTTGCTTAATACTTGGTCTCTATAGACTTCAACCCAGCACTTTTAAAGTGTCTTCTAGAGACAAAGGCTTCTCAAATTTAATATGCATACAGACCATCTGGGGGTCTTGTTAAA